CTTTTTAACATGTCCCACACTTCTTACTCATGCATGTTGACAAACTAGAGGGCCAAGCCTCTCTAAAAAGAGGGCCATACCTCTTTAAAAAAATAATAGGAGACCACTGGTCGCTGACCTCGGGGTTAGATACGCAACGTCTAACAAATTGCCAAGACCGGATCGTCAATTTTTTGCGCCCCCAGCGCTAGTATTTCTGCAGGAGAGCATCCCCCTGGGGGTGGCACAGCAGCCCTGTCCGAACCTTCGGAAGACTCCTCTTGCGTTGGTGGGTCTTTGACCGCTCATGCGCTTAGATCTTAGGTCAAAAAATGCAAAAACAAGCGCTACAAATTATTTCACCACCTCCAGGTTTCACAAGGTAAGGGGTGGGGCCAATTACTTTAAACTCAACAACTTTGGTAATGATAACAAGGGTCGCAAATGTAATAAAAAAAATGCAGAACAGTAATATAATAACATAGATAATTGCGTTTGTATCGAAGCGTCACAAATTTGTATATAACACATACAAGAAAGCAAAGTGCAGATTGTAACGGCTAAACAGATCTGTTATTGTTTGAAATGCAAATTGCGTTGCGGAATGCAATATGTGGATGCAATAAGAAAATTAAAGAAAGAATTGGCGAGCATCTTTCCAATATCACTTCATACAAAGTACACACACCATTATATAATCACTTCTACGAATGCGATAAGGGAATAACGGTACAAGTACTAGACTGCATAAAATCTAATGACAAAACTACCTTATTAGGAAAAGAACTATTTTGGATTAAACTTCTGATGACACCAATATCCTTTGAATGATAATATAAAGGGATATGGTAACATTACAAATATAGAAAATCCCCTTATGTACAAGGGCAATCATCCCTTTTTTTCTCTTAAAATTACTAAACAAAGGACTAATAGAGGTAAAAGATATAACAAGAAGAATAAAGTTAACACATACAATAAAATTATAACAGAAATAACAAATAATAGCGAAACACTCAAACCTATTCAATACTACAGAATGCTTAAAAGTCTACGTAAAGAAGAAATTAACAAGCTAATTGAACTCTCCACGTCTGCTAGTTTTCTGCAAGGAGTTAGTAATAAAGCCAGATACTTAATATTTTTGCCTACTAGCCCATTTCCACTTTGACACTGCAGTAAAAGAAATCACTAAGAAAAACTTCCATAACGTAGAGGTCAGTTTTAAAAGCAGAATATTCAATGAAATACCCTTTAACAGTATCTTTAATTCACGTACTGTCAGAGAGATACTACTTAGCGATGTTGGGAGAAATATTGAATTCACTCCAATCAGAATTGTTTATAAGTACAACAACACAATGGCTAGTAAAGTTTGCAATTACAATAATGTGTTGAAAAATCTCGACAATGAAAAATTTAATACAGATCCTTAACAACGATTGTATATGTAATACAAATACAGTGCGAGAGTATGTGGATAAAGATTATGGGCATGTTATCACAGGAGATGTAGATCTTATAAAAGAAGAGAATTTTAAGAAACTGCTGAGCAAGGGCACTAAATATAGACCGGACACAGGCGTAACAGAAGGACAGTTAAAGTCGTGAGCGAAGATAGCCCTCATCAGGTCGAGGAATATTTCTATATATAAATTATAAAGCTGAGCAGATCACAAAGTCGACCTACTACTGAAACACTGGCGTACTTGTTACCATGACAAAGTTAAACCTCTGTTGACATATGCTAATATTGAAAGTATAGGAGAAAACATACCTTATAACTTAATCAAGCAATATCAGGAGTATTACGTTTTTTGTCCTCTTGACAAAGCATCTAATAACTATGGTATCATTTGCAAGAAGTTTTACCTTCTAAACATAATGAGAGAAATGGGAATTACGTTTGATGCTGCCAACCACACATTTGTCTGAAGTAAGCAATTAACACTTATGAACTTTATTACCTGTATCCGACAAAGTATTCCTTAATACTTGGAGCCACAAATTCATCTGTGTTAAAAATTAATATCAATGTATCTATTGATGCAGAAATACCTATTATATATGCCTTACCAAAGCTACATAAGAATCCAATCAAGTTCAGATACATCACAGGTGCTCACAGCAGCAGCGTTAAGCCCTTAGCCCAGGAACTTCGCATAGTTTTCACATATATCAAGAATCACTTCATTAATTATGTTAAAGCGATACAAAATCGCAACAGAACTATTAAAACATACTGGTCTATTAGCAATATTAATATAAGTCAAGAACTACACAACATCCCGTTTGATAATCTTAAAATCTACACTGCTGATTTCACAGACATGTTCACGAATTTAGAACATGATCTTATTATTAATAAAATGCAAGAGCTTCTTAACATTTGCTTCAAGAATGCCAACAAATCCTTCATTGCCACTAATGGTTACCACGTTTTTTATACAGATGGCAGAGAATTCAAAAGAAACTACAGATACTACAGATCTAACGATTTAGTATACCTAGTAGACTATCTTTTACGTAATAGTTTCTGTATTCTCGCAAATTAGTATGTTCAGGCCCAGCAGACTGAGGTGTTCCACACAAGGAGGCAATTTTAGTCCACTTTTGGCAGATCTTACGCTTTCTGTCATGGAATATTGCTATGCTAAATCCAAAAAGTTTAAAAACAGTAAACTGTTTATTCCATATCGATATATGGACGATTTGCTTGTTGTACATAACCAAACAGATGATGATGTAGATGAACAACTTTTTGAAGTTTATAAAAATGTCCTTCAGTTGAAAAAAACTCATACCAGTGAAGTTTCCAGCAATTATTTAGACTTAACAATCAACATAATCAATGGTAGAATCAGTACTAACTTATATAACAAAACAGACGACTTTAGCTTCAGTGTAATTAGATTTCCGTATAGTGATACGAATATCTCCATTTATTAACAAGGCCTCTGTTATATACACGGAAACATTGAGGTTAGCTTACACCTGTTCGTTTTTTGACATATTCATAAGCAAGATAACGGATATGGTTAACACTCTTTTGAAGAATGGTTACGAAGAGGATTTTATTATTACTAGCATTGTTAAATGTTACAGCAAACAGAGTTCAGGTAGCGTTATAAATACTCAATTGTAAAGTGAAAACTTACTAGAAATGTGAAGATAGTACGTGTTAACCGGGCATCTCATTCGAGTAACGGAGTTCAACCATAATTTCCTCTCTGTGTACCATTATATTTCTTATATTTACTCTTGGGCTTTCTTTTTCTAAGGTTTCTTATTCTGAATTTTCTCGGTTGGTTTAATCTGTTATCAATATCCACTTTCATTCCTCTTACAGATATTTAGTATATATCTTTGTTAGCTTTGTCATTATCTCATGATAGTCCTCGTTTTCAGTTCCTACACTGACATGTATTGTTAAGCATGCTCCATTTACGACCTGTCAGTATTTGGCAGCTTGAGATTATATACATACTTTTCCATTCAAATTTTGGGACTGCTTTTCCTTACTCGGTACGTAGTGCTGCTAGTAAACACCCTTGTTTTCTTTTTTCGCTTTACTAGTTGTAATACTAGAGTTAGGACATTCTCTTTAATGAAAGTACTTCTTTACCGTTTACCAGTTACCACCTTTAGCCTACTTTGATAGGACATCGTTGGCCGCCTTCTCATGGAAGAGCCTTGAGGGAGCAGACGATAATTACAGTGGTGTCGTGCCTGGACTAAGGGAGCGCGAAACGGCGGAAGCCACGGAACTTTATTAACACTCACGTTTCATCTACTCATTCGTCCTTTCTCGATCACACAAGATCACCTGCCAAATATGTGGCGATGAGTACATAGGTAAGACGGCGAGGCCGGTTCACGTGCGGATCAAAGAACACCTGGAAGGTTTCCATAAGGGCTCTTGGTTATTCCTGACCAGTATTCCTCAGGCCATTGGTAGAAATAAGATGTTGAGTTTAAATTCTCCAAAAAAGCGTAGGTCGAGAGATGATGCAGTAACTCTGTACAAAATCTTCCGGCACGTGGTAAACCATGCTTTTTTGCCTAAAACCGATTCTCTGTTTTTTGCTTCGTACTATCTAGGGCGTGAGAATATCAAAGCTGCGCTTCAGTAACAGTTCAGAGCGGGTTTCTAGTTCGATCGTCTTTGTTTAGCTCACACGTGCATGGCGAGCGCATTCCTTCACCTCTCAGTTATTTCTACTTCAGGCAAGAAGTTTCCCATTAGTTCAAGGACATCAGCTAGTTGTCTGTGCTTCTTGTTGTTTTCCTCTTGTATTCACCTCGCACTTATTCCATTTAGTGCTTTTTTTTTCTTCACTTGTCGTTTTAACGAAAATCCCTTGGTTATGGCCTTATGGTCGCATTCTGCTCTATTGGATTCTCCCGGTTCTTCGTGTTCAGTGTTTTAATTACTCACATGTCCATCTCGGGCGTGTAATAAATAAATAAATAACTATCCGTATCGCGAACCCTGCCTTCAAAGAGACTTTTGAACGCCGTCCGACTATCAGAAATTGCTCACTCATATAGGTTACAAAGTTCTTCCTGTTCTCCTACCCTTTCAGCGTAACTAATGACAAAGCGTTCAGGTTTTACAGCTGTGGGATGAATCACTTATACAATAAGCCAACTGGTGAGTGAGGGACGGGCTGCACGGATGTTTTACTTCCGAGACTCATCACAGATACTCGAAATGAAGAAGAAACTAACTTTTATTTTAATACAATTCTTATATTAACATGAGTTCATATTATAGCACATGACATGAGTTACATTAATCGAACCTGAGCAGAACTGAAGGAATTTCCGAAAGGCGAACGCTCGATACTCATTAAGAATTGACGAGAGTCAAGGGAGTACAGCAACCAACGCAACAGATCAGAGTAGGGGGGCGGGGGACGGAGGAAACACATTTACACAGAGATGATCACTAGGATTGTAGACACGTATTGATGGTAAACCGAAAAATCGATAAAGATTAGAAAAAATCAATAAAATCTTTAGAAATTCAATGGCGTGGTATCGTCTTCAGCATTGTAGTCGTGCAGCTGCGGTGAATGCTAAAAGCAGATAACAAAAGTTATTGGTTATTGTATTTCCCAGACATGCAAACTGATGTCTCATGAAGCGCTGGATTTGATAAGGTTCATGATCTGATAATGGACGCTGAAGGCTCACCGCCATGACTACAAGACACAGGAACATGCTTACTGCAGCTTTAGAGACGAGAAACCAGAAAAACCGAAATCGTTCCACCGGCGAGAAATTGAAAGTTTTGCATTCGCTCCTGAAACATGTCTGAATATGTATCTGGAAAAAAAAACGACGACTCCCTATTTGAGAAAATGATTTTTTATGAAATTAAAGAAAAATGAAGAACATGAGCCCAGCGAATCCCTGCAGATGTTTTTCAAGACAAAGGCACGGAAAGGAGTGGAATTTGTGGCTGATAAAAGGAAAGTCAAATGGTTTAATGACGGGTGAGCTATATGTTCGCCTTCATAGTGCTTGCGTGTTAGTTCCGAGTAAGTTGCGCGTTCGTTCCATGTATAACTACCATGTAAGTTCCACGTAAAACCCTTTTGAAATTTGTATGTAATTCTATATAACTAGAAGGTTGACATTGATTTCTATGTGCTTGTAATGGTCAGAAGAATTGCGGACGGAGACGCATGTGCGCAAAGCATGTAATTTGCATATATAGACAGAATACAGTCCATATCCTGGCACATGGAGAAGGCTATGCGCTGCAATAGAAGCTTGACTTAGGGCATAGCAGTGTGTTTTTTTTGAGAATAATTTTCCTTTGATACAGATGCCCTCCACTGTTCAAATAAAGGCCTCGAAGATTAGAACACACTATTCATTAAGTGCAAATCACCAACAAAAGCGCAAGTATGCTGGGCGAAAAACCAAAATACGCACCGACCCTCCATCTCCGGATATGAATCCCATGTTCTCCAGTAACTTGCCTCATCCATATCCAGGAGATGGGAAGGGAGTCCATAATAGTTGCGACACAAATTTTAACCTAGCAATAAGCTGACATATGCTCTATGAAGCTTTCACAAAGCATCGAAAACATTGGTGGAGGCCAAGCAGCGATATATAGCCACAGTGCACATCTATTGTTAGGGAAATCTCCAGCAATAGGTGGGTCGTATTTGGTCGTCAGGAGGGGGGAGGTCGTATTTGGGCTGAGAAAAATTTATTTTGGTAGTTGATTTTTCTCGCTTAGTGGACGTTGTAAAAGGGAGGAGGGGGTTCGTATTTGATCATTCTTTGGGAAGGTGACGGAAAGAAGAGTTTCATACTTACGGTAATGGGCGTTTATCGGAAGTAGGACCAAGCGTGACTATTTGGTGAATTCCCTCTTTCGTAGCAGTACGTAATTGCACCTCAGCATGATGCTAATTATTCCCCCCCAACCCTCATCCCCCCCCCACGCTCGAACGGCTACAGATCGATGAAGGGAGACAGAGGGACTGGTGGGAGGGGGGAGACGGGTCGTACCAACATCACCCAAAAAAGGAGCGTAACCAATGACTAACCAATGATGTGCCCTGGTTGCCAGTGTCATTGGTGGAACAGCGTTGTTCACACCCCATAAAGCGTTGGTCGAATGGGTTAAACGCCGTCCGAGCCTATTTACACAAGTCGATGCTGCACACAACCGCAACGCCTCCAGCCATCGTGCCCTCCTCGTCTCAATTATACTAAGCAGTTGAAATATAAGGTTTCAAGTAAGCCACATGTAATTTGCCCATAAGCTGCATATTAATCTTCAGGTTCTTGCAGTGAGCAGAAGGATGAAGCGGGAAGACACACAGACAGACAGTCTAGTCCAGATGGGTCGTGGTTGCTACAAAAGGATAACTCTATTTTGGGGAAGTTTGGAGATCGTAGAAAAATTGTGCAGTTGGCACGATAAATCCCTAAAAACGAGTAGGATTGATACGCCTGGCAGGGCGGATTTCCGCGACCCTGAGTAGGCGCTGCATAGCGGTTTTTCCTAGGGAGGTACCCTTATAAGGGTCCTATCAAGCTACAACATACCGACCCAAACGCCCGCCACGCCCGCCCGCCCACAAATGGACGACCTTACCAGATGCTCGTGCTTCATTTGCTGAGTAAAACATAAAGCGAAGGGATTAGTATGAAGCGGCTGCGGTGCTGAATGGATATATGAGTACATACATGCAGCCGTACCTGCCGGAGCGGTTATTTGCAATACGCCTACGGGAAACTCGTCCGAAATTGCTTTTCAAGAACGAAGGCTTTTCTTCGCAGTTTTTGACCGTTTCACTTCGTTTTTTCGCCATTTTCCCCACTAGATAGCGCCCTGCTAGCATTTTAGGCTGAGTACCAAATTATCGTGCCACTGCCTTTAAGGAGAGTTGAACACCTGCTCACAGTGGGTGGAACCTCTTGGAGGGGGTGCCTATAATATTTCGGTTCTGAGAACAAAGAAAAACGGGTCAGCAAGGGCTGCTAGATGAGATGATAGGCACACAGCTGTGGGCAGCGTGCGCTCCAACGTGGAAGGGGCCAAAACCAAAACTTCGGGTACCACAGCATCCCAGAGGTCGGGAAAAATTAGTGAGCAAACCCGTAGAGAACGGAAGGTGCGCTGAGTTGGGCGAGTTAAAGGCACGGTCCGCGATCAGGTATCGAAGTTGAAAATATGGCGTCAGGAGGTTAGAGTGGTCCGCGACGAACAACCTTGTACCGGTTTCGCGGCAAAAAATTCTAAGGGAGGGGCGCTATAGCGCAATATAGGTTCAGTGGTTCCTCCTTTTTTCCAGTGACTCCGCCTCCAGACTCCGCCTCCAATGCCCGGCTTTCAGTGAAAAACGAGATTGCAGGACGAAAAAGCATGAAAATCGTCACTTGTACGATCGTAGAGTTCTTATCGGTGAATCAGCTGTGCGTATGAGGGCGTAGTGTGGGGACACAGTAACTAATTGGATCAAAATGGGGTTCTATCTAGGGCAGGTGGCATGTTCTTTGTGCTTTCTTCTTACATTGTCGAGTTACTCAACCTCTTGTCGTCTATATGGAACCCCCTAATCCACTATTCTGAGCATGGCGCATATCGCGGGGCTTTGCCTTTAACAATCACACACTAATCTCATCACGTTGCAATGGAAGTCAGAGCTTCAGGAACCAGAAAATGCGCTAGGGTGAAGAAAACCAGCGCAAAGTTTGAACCATTAGCCAACCAGGATCATAGTGGCGTTGTCATGCTGTTTGCTCCGTACACGTACAACGCCTCTGAGAGAGAAGACAATGTAAAAGATGTTTAAATATCAGCAGACGAAAAGAAGCCTTGGAAATGCGCTGTACACTCATGTTCAAGGATTCTGGTCCTTGCCATGTGCGGGGTGGGCGATTCTGCAGCTGTAGACCTGTTGCCACTCCCCCACTCTCGAGACAGCCATCACTGGCTAAGTGATGCCCGCTAGCCTAGTGATGGTTAGATGCGTTTCACACTCCACTCATAAACAAAACGCAAGTACGCGACGTGCCGCCGACCAGGCATATGCACCCCTAAATGCACGCGAACGTCCTACTTGTCTGCGCCCTTTCACCTATAGTTGTTCGCTACCTTCGACTGCTTTCTTCGGGCAGTTGATTAAAATAACTGCGCCGCAGGTGCCGCACATTGTGGATAGCGGGTGGATGGGCGGAGTCCGAAAGGCAACCAGCTATCACGATCCTCTGCCTTTGGTTGCGCGCACTTTCGACAGATTAAAGCGGAACATTTAACATCTGCGGACCTGTCCACCTCGTACATGGCGAGGGTCCATCTCACAAGTAGGCGAGCAACGTAATTTCGAACGATTTGGAGGAACGGCCCGCGATGACTACGAAATGCAACAAATTTTGCGGGTAGGTAGTATGGTCCATGATGGACAACCTTGTGAGAGTTCTAAAGGCACGTTCCGCGATAAACTAAGGCTAGGTTCTCATAACCGTGCACGATGGTCAAGCAGGCAACGTCAGAGGCTATGCCGCTTTTAAAAGTTGAAAAACAGCAAGCAAAACGCAGCGCGCTCAGGTTTTAGGCCCATTGGCGCCCGATAGGCCCATGCCGGCCTCCAGTGACCGTGTCGTTGTGAGACTGCCATTGCGCTCTCTCGCCCGTCGTTTTCTGGCCTCTCTCGTCTCTTATCAGTGTATCGCCGCCTTTCGCAATTCACAATTGATCTTGACCACCTTACGCTCGTCCGGTGATCGATCAATTGAAATAAAGAGGGTCTTATTCCGGGCGCTTTTTCGTGCTTCCTTCTCCTTCAATAAGTCAACAAACACACGGCAGTTCTATTTTTGAACCGTATTACCTATGAGCTGTGGTCGCGGGAATTGCCTTTAAGGCAGAAAATTGTGAAGGACTTTAAGCGCCGAGCTTCTTCTAGCGGCACCTCCCTCTTTTCACTAACTCCGCCGTCAAAGTCTGCCTCCCAGCCAAAAGCGACTGGACAAGTAGAAAGAAACTGATGCTATACTGTCTCTGAAGGGGTCATTGGGTTCATTACATGAAATCAGTTGACGCGACTCGTTTAAACAAGCGGTCTTTTGTTCTTTTACCCCTTGGTTGCTTGAGGTTGGAGGGGACCTATTTAAGGCGTCAGCACGAAAGGGGACTGCCCCGAAATTTGACCGCGGATCGTTAATACGAGAAGCAGTGCCATTTATCACTACGGTACCTTCGCTCCTATCGAAATTCGAAAGAGTGAGTCAGAAAACTTCTGTGTGACCTCGGTACATCACCATTAAATCTTATTTTGCATCAGAAATACGATGCGAAAACTAACACAGCACGTGTCCTGTGGTCATGGTCATTGGTACAGTACGAGGGCATATGTCATGGGCCAGCGAGAGCCTTTTTCCGACGGCTTCTAGTGTAACGTAGATCACTGACCGAGCACCTCGAAAAGCTGCACAGCGGTGGATTTGCATGATTCACGGTGATAGCTCGTTTCGTGTTTCCAAAAGATCTGTGAGCTCTATACTTTAGGGTGGTTGCGGGCATGGACGTATAGGACAATTATAGAGTCATAAATTCTATCACACAGGACTAACAGTGGAAAGGATAAGAATGCGAAGAATTCGATGCGGTTAGACAAACAGAACCACGCGCAATCTTGAAGGCGACATCAAGGCCCTTGAAATTGTACCAGATGATGGAAAATTGAACCATGTTTCGAACAAGTCATTCTGAATGTAATGAAACCAGTTCTTGGCTGACGCGCATGTAGCTGCGCGCCGATTTAACCATGGGATGAACCTAAGTTTGATCGCTGACAGGATATCTGTAGCGAACCCTGATGCGTTGGCCTTGCTTCTCTTTATGGATACGGCAACCTTTTCCCCCTTTACCCTTTATTGATGATCAACTGCTAATGTATCCATTGCTTATCGCAATACAAAGAGCACACAATTTCTTGGAAATAGGGACGGTTTATCGGTGAAAAAGTTTTGAAGGCAAGGCAGCGTTCATACTTCGCAATGAAGCCCGCAGACGCGCTGTAACGCGCTATAGTTGCAACAGCGCTTCAATCTTACAGTCGCGAACGCAGTCGTAGAGAGCGTTTGATCAGCGCTGCCCTAGCGGCCAGTCCCAATCGATACCAGACTGCGTGATTAGGCATCAGTTACCCTCCAGTCCACCATACTATCTCAACACACAAGCGGTGTCGATTGATTCCCGTCTGCGACTGCGCTCCCATCTATGGATAGGAGCTCTGTTGCAACTGTAGCGCGTTACAGCGCATTGCAGCGCGTCGACGCGCGTCATCGCGAAGTCTGAGACCGCCTAACTATTCAAAATGAAGCCTCCGCAGCTTCTCGCTTACTCATTTCTCACTGGCTTCTACAGAACGTCCTTGTCAAGCACACTAATCGTAAGCATCAACATTTTGTTGGAACTCAACAGTTGAGCGATCAAATCGTCATTGATTCTGTCGCTAATAGGAAG